TAATGACTGCCTGCCGAAGGGTCTATCGAAAGCACAGGCTAATGCCTGTAAGAAGCTTGTTCTCGACTATCTGAAGATAAAACAGGAAAGAAAGCATTCTTCTGCTAAAGCAAGAAAGGTTCTGATTCCGACATATACACAGCTTTGATTGATGGCTGCAACTGCTTGTTCTATGTCAGCCATCTCTCAACATTTGTGTATGATTTCCATACTTGTGCAGGGAAGGCGAAATCCCGATGCTCGCCACATTGAAGCTACTGTGGAACCACTCGGTCCGAAGAAGTAACATCGTGTTTGAAGGTTCTTTGCTGATTCGGCCAGTTGATTCACTCGCTTGTTATAGTTGCCATTGTTGCTACTTTCTCTTTGTTCGTAGTGTCTCGTTGTCTCAAATGGCTATTGAATGGTTCTTCGGTCTGTAATAACTGCAATTCCTGAACCCAAACTGGAAGTTGCAACGATATCATGTAGCATTTGTCCTTCAATTTTAAGAAGGTCAAACATCATCTCAGAGTGGCTTTTCACTCTTCTTGGAAGATGGCTTTTTACTCTTTACACATCAATATAAACTGTCAAAGAAGAGATTCTTGTCTACAAGACATCTTCTTTCTTGGTGACTTGACAGATGACGATCTCCTCTGAAATCACTGCCACAATTGTCTTAAACACACCTCCTCGTCTTCGCATCTGTGCAACTTAAAGACATGGATTAGATGGTAACTGTTGTTGCTCATTTGTCCGCCCTTTGGATGCAGCTCTACCTCCCATGTATGCTATAAGCTCAAACCGGATCGGGTACGGACGGGTCTCAATACCACATTAGATTCACCCGCCCAAAGACGCTCGCTCTCTCTCTCTCTCTCTCTCTCTCTGGTTCTTGGACCAAAGCCTTGAGCATGGCTGGTCTCCCTTCGAGTTCAGGACCTCCGGCCATCACTGAGAACGGCGACCACTCCAGCCTCCTCCACGGAAAGCCATCTCAAGTGGTTAGAAGCCAAGTTGAACAAATACCAGGTTCTCTCTCTCACACACATCTTTCTCTCTATCCCCTTCTTCCAATCTTGCGATGATCTTTGTCACTAGCTGCATTTCGGACAGAACGTAGCCGAAGCAAATGCATCAATGCAAAGTAGACTTCTGACGAGGAGAACGCTTTATGTAACTTAGTATCCATCTATCATTAATTTGGCATCGCGGAAAGCATCTGTTTTCCACAAGAGACAAATATGTAAAGCTTCAACTAAAATTAAAGCGGAATCCACCAGTGAATGACATGACAAAAAAAAAAAGAGTTGTACCATCATAAATGTTCCCAACATGGAGATCAAAGTTTCAATGCCAGGAGTCACAAAACCTTCTTTGGCTTGTGATAATTCCTATAAGCAACAATACAAAAACCTGTCAAAGGTATAAGAACTCGGTTCAAAAATGCCTCCTAGTAACCTGTTGTTTTGACTTTATCAATCAATAGAAATAGATCCACCATCCTACAGGGAGCACACCTCCAACAGTAGGACAAACCTGTAACAGTTCCTCGCCCCTTTGATTGATGGGCTGAGTTCATTATCTTTTATTGAAAGAATGTGCTAATCACCACAAAGTGTCTCAACACTCTTGGAGGTTCAAGACTATGCAACTGCACATTGCTTGTCTTCGTGGTCTTCGATGTTCAGTGCTTGCAACAGCTTCGGCCAAGATTCTGGGATTCCCCCTGGTAAATCAAACTCTAAAAGCTTGCCTCGCTTGCGGTAGAACTCTTCCACCGGTCGACTCTGCAGAACCAACCATTTCTAAGCTAAAGGTGCCAGCACTTTTCCCATAATAAATTTCATGAGAAACAAAAACATCAAAATTACTATTTTATGACAGTATATGAAAGAAGAAAAACTGCTCAAGATTTTTGTATAACTAGAATTAACAACAAGCTTTTCAACATGTCTGATTAAGAAACCAAGAGTTACCAATCAAACATCATCCTTTAGCCCCAAGTTGATTCAGAAGAGTAGATTTTGTTAACCCTTCGCTTTGCAGTTTATTAGTTCTGTTTCTCAAACTCTTATTCAACATCATACTTCTTTTTTAATAAACTATTTTGACAATGGCAAACCTTCTGTCATTTTGATGTCATAATTGATACCACTGACATATTTATGACTCAAACTTCTACATCACAACATAAAAACAGTGAATATCAATTCAAGAAAAACTGCCAAAATAAGTGAATCCTACAAAATGTTTCTCTTAGTATCTAATCCTACACTGTGAAACCAGCTTTCAAGATGACCTATGCAGGGTTTTCAAGGCACTCCAAGTGCTGCTAAAGAAGTAAGAAAGAATAAGATCATTCTTTTTACCCAGTGAATCAAACTCAGAGCACCCAAATAATTAAAAGCTGAAGCCATTAGATGAATGAAATCCACAGCTGGAAGCCAATTCTTCGGTAATACCAATTTTCTAGTGCTTCAATCTTTATACTGCTTGCCTTCGTTAGACTTTCTAATTCCAAATTGCTTTGCAAAATCATCCCATTCGATATGGGTATATTGCCAACAGCACAAAGACAAATTAGAAGGGAAATTAGAATAGGAAGTACAAAGAAGAACAAAATATTTTTTGAACAAGAAATAAGCTTACTATCATATAGCGAAAATATCAAATTAACTATCTATAACAAGCTAGTCAGAAATTAGCTACAACCAACATAAACCATTTGTTGCTCTAAAATTAAATCATGGGCCAAATGAAAAACTACGACAACACATAATATAAGGTCACATTGATTTCTTCATAGTAAAACAAGGATATTCATCATTAAAAATAGCATCTTCATCCAATTTATGAACATTAAGTAGGAATTTGGTTTTGGTTAACACGCCAAAAGTCACTTTATTTAAATTTGTGCAGACCATGCATATTCCAATCACAAGGATCTCCACGTAGCCATGCATACCATGCCTATCACTGTCATGTGCTGACAACTGTATATGGCTCTCATGGTGCTCACATATGGTACAAGTGCACCCAGCTGATGCAACAAGTCCCAGACCAACTATACTTGCTCAGTTGCTTGTTTCCCCTTCGGTAACTAGCTATATCATAATACTGATGTTCTTATTTAGGGAATGTTGATTTTAGTGTAGAGCATATCATCGATTTTTTGAGTTTAGACACCAACTTTGAGATATCAAAAGGAATGGAGGTGAAGAGAATTTGAATAGGGGGCATTCTATGATACAAGGGTCGAATGGAGGTGATGGTACTTTCATGGATAGGGCCATACCGTGCGCTCAACTCTAAAATCTGTAGAACGGTCAAAAAGGTGAGAGGATTGTTGTGCAAGCTGCACAAGATAATGTAAAATTGCATAACATTCACCTTAGTGGGACTTCAACAAAATTGTTTGGATTTATATTAATGTAAATTATATGGACAAAAATAACCTGAAAATCAAGACACCTATAAGATGGTTTCATACTTCTACCACCAAAAATTAAACTGTCCGAACGACTCATGTTCCTCAGGCATCAGAATCAATGAAACTTGTATCTATAAGAACAATGCATGAAGTTCCAAATTTCATAAATCTTGGTCGGAGACCTTTTTAAACTAAGAGGAACTTATTAGCGAATGCAAATAAGTAATTCTTAAACAAAACAGATTTTTTTTTTGGACATATAAAGAAGGTACAAAAAAGGGAAGGATTACCAGTTCATTGTAGATATCCAATCTTTTCTTTACCACCTCCTCAGTATCATCAGCACGAATAATCAGTTTTGACATGCAGTTGGCAGGAGGTAGGAGGGGGGGCATATACATTCCAGGCTTCCCATTTCCCTCATCAACATTGATGGAAGCAATGTTGAAGTTCCCACCACACTGACTACATGTTCTTCTGCCCAAACACTTCTCAAGTAACACATCTTCTCTGAGCTTTAGGTTCACCACCAGATCTATTTCAGTCACACCCTCCAAAATTTCCTGAAAAATAAAGAAATATATACAGAATATAAGGATGAAAATAGTCAAGCTTGATCAACTAAATAGTACATCTTATTTTGGTTGTACATAAGGAATGTCATGCAAATACTCTGTTCTGTTCATTTCTGCAACTAGGCCATGACAGCAGCCCAGGACACTGGCACAGCATAGCATAGCCCATTATGTGATAGCCCAACTCATTCTGACCTGGTGGTATGTTACAGCACAGCAATCTTTACTCTTTGGTCGGTGACACATTGCAAGAACTACAACTAGTTTACACGTAGATCACATTTCTGGTAACTCTAGAGCTAAAGATAGCATGAACCAAAAGGTGAAATTATGATTAGTTTGAAGGAATAAAGATTCTTCTTCTACTACAATTTCATGTCTACCCAAATGCAGATGCTATTATTTTGCAAGAAGCAAACTGGAATAGGATCAACTTTTCTAGCAAAAACTCTCCATCTAAAAGTTTATAGACATTTTGTTTTTTTTTCCCCTTGTTATAGCATCCAAATCCTGTTGTCTCAAACTTCTCTAAGCATATTAGATATCTCAATAAAGTATGGCATTGCACTCCTCTATATAGAAAACCATTACATGACAGAAAACTATCACCAAATAGATATATTGGTTGACTTGATCTTGTTTAA